TCAGAGATTGAGAAAGAGCATGGGTCTATCCCATCGCTCCTCCAGTGGTGTGGATACCGTGTATGTTTGCACGTTCACACGACCACTGAGAAATGGCTGGTGATTGTGCAAGAAGCTTAACTGCTAGTGTGTGTGTTAAAAATATTTTAATGTTTTACTGATACTACCTGATAACGAAAGTGTTTAGTTTTGTTTTATCCCTTATCTGTTTTAATATATCCGTCAATCTTGAAAGCACTTGCTTCAATCGGAAAGCGCACCCCTAACATTACTTATTTTAGAGACCCCCACAAAACTCAGATTATAACTCCAACCCTCGTTTTGTTTAAGTATTTCTAAAGGTGTAAAAAAAAAAAAAAAAACGGGTTTAGCCTGTAGAACATATTGAACATTACCTTTGAACAAACTTCCAATCCCCACCAAGAGTTTCTATTTATTTATTAATGTGTGCACTTAAAGATCCAACTGTCGGACTACAGTGGACTTTACATTGAAGTAGGAGACATCTTGTGTCCAGCACAATTAGCATATTCATAGATTGTGCAAGTTTTCCCCGGCTCCTGTGCCACATGTTGAAGTATCCTTGAGCAAGATACTGAACCCCGAATTGCATCGGTGTGTGAATGAGTATGAATGAGTTAGTTTCTGTTTGATTTCACTGAGTGAATGTGTGTGAAAGGTAGTGTAAAAGTGCTTTGGGTGGTCGGAAGACTAGAAAGGCGCTATACAAGTACAGGTCCATTTACCATTACTTTTTAAGGATTTAATGCGGAAATTCTACTTTTTAGTCACACATTATTGTTCCAAGCAGACTATTTGTATATGTCTTAATACATGTCTTAGGGGGTCTTTAAGGCCATGTGAAGCTGAATACATTACAATTGCTAGAGCTCAGGGAAACTGCAAAGTTGGGTAATAATTATATAGCCTGTGTAAGTCCGTGTATAATGTCAAATGTGGCCTATTTGACATTACACCTTGTCTTTTGACCTATATACATAATAATGTAGTAAAAGTTGGAAATATAGACATAGTGTGAATCCAAAGGAAAGAGCTGAGTGCCTGTGTATCTTACAGACTGTGTAATAATACCATCTATTCTGCAGTCACCTGTGTCTCCATGCAGCATTATACTCTCTCTTCTGACTGAGGCTGACTCACTGCTCACTGATGTGGAAACAGATGCTGCCGCCGTGCATTCTCCCATCTCCCTATCCCCCCTCCCCTCCTCTGCACTCCTCCTTCTGTATTCACTTGGCCAGCATCACCATGGCGACAGACCTGTTGCTACACGGCAACGGACAGTTGGGAGCAGGGCAGCCATACTGTAGGTTGTGAGACACTTCATGCTCCCTCCCTGTCTGTCTATGGTTTGAGCTTTATGCTCATTATGCTTCATATAAAAAAGTGCAGTGTCTACCCTGCAGTGCCCAGAGGGTTTGTTGTTGTTGTCGTTGTTGTTGTCATTGTTGTTGGGAAATAAAACCGATATTTTTCAGATTATAACTAAAATAGTAGTGTAGGTGTCATAATAAGAAGAAACTTTATAAAGGTCAGTGTTCACTGAGTTGATTCAGCTGTTCAGTCATTTCTGGGGAATCACTCTACCTCTATTTGTGCATTCATTTTTGTGTGTGTATTGGCTATTATACCTGCTTGTAAGTGACTGTGTTTAAATGGAAATATTGAGCGATAGATACTGGCCGTAATCGTAAAACTTCTCACCCTCAAAAAGTTAATCTGAGGAAAGAGTATCTAAGATAACTGATGAAGCACACTTACACAGGGTGATGAACCCAAGCTCTAAATGTATTGCTGCAGTAGCCGAGGTGTTTCTGATCAGTCAGTCAGATGTAACATTTCCTTAGCCCTTGTGCCCTACCCTCTGGACACCTTCATGGCAAAAATGTACAAGCACAAAAAAACTGCTATAAAATCATCATACATTTCAAACTTGCTCAAATCTACCAAACATTCAATCATTTTCTGGATTTTAACCCTTTAAATACCAGTTTAATTATTTGAATTATTTCATTAGTTATTACAAAAAACACAAAAAATGTATAATTCTCCATATAATAAATAGTAGGGGGGTTGGGCTTTGGTGGTCATTAGAGTCTTGGAAATGTCAAAGATTAGCAACAAAATTGATTAGATAGAGTATTTTTTATGTAGTGCCAGATACTCCCCCTGGATACCTTCGTGGCCAAAAAGGCCTCATTGACTACCATTAAAACCACTTTTTTTTTTATCTCACTGCCATTACAGTATGAAAGCATGCATTCTGTAATGTCAGTAGTGATATTTGATATTTTTTATGTATTCCACCTGATTCAACCATTTTCCCATTGTAGGCCGATGCATGAAATTCTTGTATTTTTGCCAGTTATTTTATGGAGCCCTGTGACTACCAGGGGATAAGTTGTTGCACCAAAGACGTTTTTTTCCTCGCACCAGTGACAGATATGTCGGGGTGATGCCGCCTTATGTGGGTTAGCATGTTTGAGGTGTTGCCAGCAACATACCGCACCTCCGTGAAACATCGCCGGCAGAAAGTCTTTGTCTGGTGCACCACTCGCATGCCATCACCATTATATTGTACTGGGAAGCCAAAGTGCTCCCAAACAGCTGATTTAAATGAAGCCGGCGGCTTCCACACTTTCCATCACTTTTCTTCTTCGTCCTTTTTTGTAACTATTTCTTCTTCTTCTTTAATGACTGTTTCTGACTGCTTTTAGGCTCATTACCGCCACCTGGATTAAAGTGAGGACTCAACTTTTTTTAAACTCACTCAGACGTATTCGTCGCATGACTGCGTGCACCGAACCGTGACGCCCGTACTGTGACGGTTCGGGACGAATACAAATACCGTTACACCCCTAGTGGCTAATATTCAAGATATTTACATTAACTTTAACCATGCATAAAAGGTCACTTATTGGTATTAAAACCAGTAGTTTATCAGAAACTTACCTTACCATGTGTGTAAGGCCAGATAACAGTTGGGGAAACTTTGTAAATGTTGCATCATGAGACAATACAATTGTATATTTGGACGTTTTATGTGATAGTGGTCAGAAAACAATCTCCAATACAATGACAAGCCAAAATAAGTTTCTGTATCTAAGAAGAGGCCTTTATTGGCTCAATACTGGTGCAGCTCCAGCCAATACAACAGTATAAGAGTTATCCCAGAAAGCTTGTACTCTGGGCCAGCAGCTGTAGCAGAATAATAATGAGAGCACTCATGCTATATGTAGGCCATCAGGAAACTGGTGTTTAATGGGGTTTGAAACAAATGTACTTGTCAAACTAAATGTCAATGATTTTAAGCTAGAGAGACTGAGCAGAGGTAATTGCTAAAAAGCAACAGAAGGTGATATTTAAATAGAGGTTGGTCTTAGAAACACCAAACACTCTCAGAGCTTAACATATTATCTGCACGTCCATGTCCTTTGGACATCTCCCTGCATTTGTAAATCAGTTGTGTGTTTGAGAAATAGAGCAATAGTCCAGGCGTACAAATAACACACAGACCATCTCAAAAGTGTCCTGAGATAACTTCTGTTATGAATTGGCGCTATACAAATAAAAATTGAATTGAATCTCACTTGATGAGTTTAAACTGTTGTAAAATGTTGCACAACGGGCAATAAACCAAGCAGTTTTACTACTTTACACTATTCTTTGAACACTGTCTTCCTGACTAAGCATACTGAAGGTCAGTTAGAGCTCGACTAATTTCAATTTCAATTCAATTCAATTTTATTTGTATAGAGCCAATTCATAACAGAAGTTATCTCAGGACACTTTTCAAATAGAGTAGGTCTAGACCGAACTCTTTATAATATTATTTACAGAGACCCAACAGTACCACCATGAGCAAGCACTTGGCGACAAGGGCAAGGAAAAACTGCCTGTTAAAAGGCAGAAACTTAGGACAGATCCTTCGGCTCTAGGTGGGTGGTCGTCTGCCTCGACCAGTTGGGGTGAGGGAGAGAGAGAGAGACAGACAGACAGACAGACAGACAGACAGACAGACAGACAGACAGACAGACAGACAGACAGACAGACAGACAGACAGGTGCACAGCAACAACAGTATTGTCAATGGCAATCTAGCAGGACCATGGCAGGAAGCTCCACCAGGATCGATAAGAACCTGCGAGACGAGAAAGCACAAGAACTCCGGGGAAGAAGTGAAGTTAGTAACATGCATTAATGGAACATGAATGAGTGCAGAAAGAGAGAGGAAGAGAGGAGCTCAGTGCATCATGGGAAATCCCCTGATAGTCTAGGCCTATAGCAGCATAACTAAGGGATGGTTCAGGACTCACCTGATCCAGCCCTAACTATAAACTTTATCAAAGAGGAATGTCTTAAGCCTACTCTTGAATGTGGTGTGGGTGTCTGCCTCCTGACTAATGTGGGTTTTTGAAGACATATACTAATATTCTCAATTTGTATTTACTGTCTTTAAAGTTTACTGAAAAAAATTTGAGTTTGACTTAAAGCTAAGTAACTTTATTAAGTAGGTAACGTTTATAAAAATAACTTTTTGTCATATTTGCTAAAACTTTAACTATATCCTGACAGTAGTACATGAGATAGATAATCTGTGAAAAAATCTGCATCCTCTGGCTTCTTCTAGTGCTCCTAATGGTATTTGCAAGACTCCACCGTTGTCAAATACTGACACTTTGGGAACCTGGGAATGAGACTCAACAATCAACTACTACAAGCCACCAACCCAAAGCGTCTTCATATCTTTCTTAGCTTTCAGATAGAACTGTGATATCAACGGGTGTCCATCTCAAACACTGTGTTACTGAACAGACAGAGTTTACTGTTTTCTTTGTAAAATATCACATAACTGATCCACATACAAATGGAGAAAGTGAACTTATACTGCTGCTTGTTAAAAATATTGTTTCAATATGTAGGCAACTGATGACTGATGGTCATAAAAAGTTAATGATGATAATGATGTGTATCCAACAGGGAAAGTCTTACCCGTTTAAAGGCTCCTTCCCTCCCATGTGGAACCCTATCGTCTTGTTGGACTTCAACAACCTGTGGAGGACGATGGACGAGATGGGCAAGGAGGTACAACAAGAATCACCCTTGTTGACTGCTTTTTACTCTCCACACATTGTGTCTCATCTTTGCCAAATGTTTGTTTCTTGCTCATCTTCCCCCTCCCGTATTTCAGATTCCCAGAGAAGCTCCCTGGAGGGCTCCCCATGCTGAGGAGTGGGACAAGATGACCATGCAGCAGCTCTTTGAAAAAATCTGCTGGACCAGGTAGCAAAGAACAGAGAAACTTACTACTATTACTTTTCCTACCAAACTTTGGGCATGCCTTTGTTATGTCTCTGAACTCTGATAATGTATTTCTTTTAAGAGTTTTTATTTTTGCACATTTTCACCCTAATAAGTTCTCCAGCCAGAATTGACCCTTCCTAAGTCCCTCCCTGCTCTGTGCTCGAATATCAGTGGAGCAAGCCTCGATCAAAACATTGGTCAACTTCCTCCTATCCATAGCCTTATTTTCTTTCCCAAGGTGGTCATGACCCATCCTGCTCTGCTTCTGATTAGTTAACGCTGACATTCTTACCCTAACCAATCTCACTCCTCATGTCTAAACCTAACTAACCAAATCTTCACCACCCTAGAAAAAAAATAGTTATGTTTTCTTTTATATGTTGAAAAAATAAGTGTGAATGCTCATTTAAGTTGTGAATCCACACATATCCAGTAATTGAGCTTATGCAAATCTTTCAAACTACACACACAGACATAAAAAATGCATTAATCAGTCTGTCTGGCTGGCTGCAGTAGGTAACTTTTATGAAAATAACTTTTTGTCATATTCACTGAAACTTTCTCTATATCCTGACAGTAGAACATAAGACAGATAATCTGTGAAACAATCAGCTTCCTCTGGCTCCTCCTAGGGCTCCTAATGGTACTTGGAAGAATCCACTATGTCGGAACAAAAAAAAGACAGAGCTACTGTCAGGATAAAGTGAAAGTTTCAACAAATATTATTTTTTATAAATATTGATCTACTGCAGCTTCAAGTCTTGAGTTCTAACAGTTTGTTTGATCCCTCTCCCTTATTTCAAGTACTGTTCGTCACTTCGCCACTCTGTTTGTCAACGTGAACGTGACCTCTGAACCCCATGAAGTGTCGGCCCTGTGGTTCCTCTGGTATGTGAAACAGTGCGGGGGAACCATGAGGATCTTCTCCACCAGTAACGGAGGACAGGTAGGTCTGCACTAGTGTGTGTGTGCAGTATCAATATTTATACCTGTGTATGTAGGTTTTCTTGTTTGTTTAGAGGGGCAAAGTCTAGCCGAACATCCAATTTTTGCCAGCACATTTTTATCTGAGATGAATGTGAGATGCGGCTTTTGAAGAGACCAAACTCTGAATTGATACCCACTAAACTTGGAATATAAACAGAATGCCCCAGTATCATGTTACAGCTTTCCAGTTAATCCGTGTGCAAAAAGCAACCTGAGGGGCCGAGGCCATTGCAGCAGAGGCTTGCCAAGAAGTGGTGGGGGACTTAGTAGCCCGCAGAGATGCATTCACTCATGCAGAACAGGAGGTTGAGCATCAGAGCGGGATCCCATAGCCTCCTAAATCAGCCCTAATACCTTTACCTTAGCTTGCAGCTGATCGGCGTAGCGCAATTATGAGCCTGACAAAAGCTGTTTTCTTGAAGCTCATTTTGCCGCCATACTTCCTAAAGCCAAGTGGGCCTGTTGCCATAGCCACCGAGGATTGGGATTGTGTTTAGGTAAACAGATGATGTTGTAGCCAGCTCTGTTGTCCCATTTGCTCAACCATCCCATTTGAAACACTTGTTTATGGGTGCATGCATGGGTACAATATATACACACATAAACAGTAATTTGAGCTGATGTTTAGTTTAAATGAGAGAGTTATATAAGGCGTAAAGTATTGCACATGGAGGCACAGATGGTATCCTTCACTTTCAGTGAAACTTTCCACAGAGACTGAAAAAATAAACTTGTCTTTAATCAAAGAAGACAAACACAGACTCGCCCTGTTTCACTGCCATGGATGATTTAGGTTTAGTTCATAATTTTCCGGCGACTGGCAGGCGAATTCATCCAAATGCCACAGTGGAATGCACACAATGTGTTTCTGATCAGGGAGAATGCAGAGGCACTGACACTAACCGTATGGAAAAGGTCACTGTCTATTTCATTTTGTGTATCAGAGCTTTGGCAACATTTAATCTCTCTCCACCCCCTTGCTTCTCTCCATCATTCAGCGGTTGGCATGAGCTTTGCAAACAGTTTGAGATGTTGAAATTTGTAGTGAAGAATAACTGGTATGTAACTCCAGGATAAATCAACAGATTTTATCAGCTTGCCTCTTAAATGTAAGTTTTATTAGCCTGGCGGAGTCGTACTGTGAGCAGGATCAGACCCAGTGAAAGCAATATACCCAGTATAAATTGAGACTGTGCTGCAAGTAGAGCATAAAGCTAGACTAGACCCCTGTAGTCTTGCTGCAGTATTTGTGGTGAATTACCCCTCTCCGTCCACCTCTGCAGGAGAGGAAGTTTGTAGGCGGCTCCAGTCAGATCAGTGAGTGCATGGCCAAGGAGCTGGGAGACCAAGTGAAGCTGCAGTCTCCGGTCTACAGGATCGACCAGTCCGGAGACATGGTGGTGGTGGAGACGCTGGACAAACAGATCTACACAGTAAGAAATTATGAGTCTGCTACAGCCATACAAGTACTGTACTTAAAGGGCCAGTGTGCAGCATTTAGTAGCATCTAGTGGTGAAGTTGCAGATTGCAACCAACTGAATACAGCTCAGCCTTCCAAGCGTGTTGGAGAAACTACAGTGTCCCCGAAAATCGTGAAAAATGTGACACAATCTTTGAAACAACTTCTGTTATTTAGAGACATACTCTTCTTTTGCAAATCATTTTTTACCACTACATATCCAGCCACAGGCTTCATTAGCCTTCATCTTGTAGCCTGCTGTTCACCATTAAAACCCAGTTGTTGTTTTTTAAAGTAATGGCAATATTTCCAGCCGTTGAATGTAAGCATTTCCATCTTCCAAGCTAGTTTCTTGTTTGGTGACATGCACAATTATAAAAATGAATCCAAGGATGTGATTTGGTGGTTGGATTTTAAATCAGTAGAGAGGTGACAACAAAAGAAAGATTGTAACTAGTTCTTTTTAATGTGCTACTGTCCAACACTGGAAATAACATATAATACCAACTTTTTTGCCTTATGACCTCTTACTCGTTTGGGCCCCTTGCTGCATTTCAGATGTTTACCAGTTGTGAAATGTTCCCTCTGAACTTCTCAGTTGGCTTAATTTAGATAACTTAAAGCCCAAAGATTGTTTAATATATCACAAAAAAGCTAAGATAAAAGAAAAGTCCCAAAAATAGTATTTTTTACATTGTTGTATTGGTACTTTTACTGAAGTACTTTTACTGCTTCGTCCAGCACTGCAGTCTTATTGGTATAATGTAAAAACAGAAAAAACACTGCATGATATAGTCTGGATATAACGTGCCCTTAGACATAAGAATAAATACATGTTTAACTCTTCCACCAACAGTCTGAATGATAAAGTGCAGCTTCCAGTATTGTTCTTTGCTGCCATCTACTGGTTTCCTTGCGATCTGCTGCCACGTGTAATGAGATGCAGCTCACACTGTCCTGACCTATTTCCTTTTTTATGTGTATTTTTGTCTTAGGCCAAGTACGTGATTGTGGCCACCCCTCCCGGTCTGAACCTGAAGATGCACTTTAACCCTGAGCTTCCACCTCTGAGGAACCAGCTTATCAGCCGTGTCCCCATGGGTTCCGTCATCAAGTGCATGGTCTATTACAAAGAGAACTTCTGGAGGAAAAAAGGTACCCAGGAGAGAGGGAATGCTGCAGTAGATGTCCTATTTTATCTTTACACTCTTTTTACACTGGTGGGTGTATGTCTGCAGGTTACTGTGGCAGTATGGTGATTGAGGAGGAGGGCGCTCCCATTAGCCTGACACTGGATGACACAAAGCCTGATGGGACTGTACCTGCCATAATGGGGTGAGTACAGAGCTGCAGCAAGATATTATGATTATGTACCATACACTATATGGTCAAAAGTATGTGGACACTTGCAACAAATCCCATCAAAAGCCTAAAATCAACCCTGTGTTAGTTCTGATTTCCCTGTGTAGTCAGGGCTTGAAATTCACGGTTTTCCTGTGTCCACATTTAAATTGAATATATTTCTCACCTTTACCCTGATGGTCTGAATAAGTCACTAAATTTGTACTTTTTAGAAATAAAGTTGCTAAGAGAAGTTGCTAAATCTAGTGAGAAAGTTGCCAGGTTGTCAACACTGACTCTTTCTATGATTCATTTTGTGTGTATAAGCGCATGTATGACGTAGTACAGAGCTCATGCTGGTGCCACCTCCAGTGGTGCCATGAAGCAGTAACCAGGGTTGGCCACAGCCTCCTAAATACAATTGCTGGCCCCCCACTTGTCCCCCCTTGTGAGTCACTTGTGCATAATATGCTTCTATCTGTATTTTACATGAGATACTATTCATTTAAATCAAAAATGTATATTTTTCATAATAATAGTTAATGTGAAAGAAAATAACAAATGTATGCAAGCCAGCTACTTTTGACCATCCATCACACTCCATTTTGTTGCCACCCCAGGATTTAGTGGCCCCATCCAGCCAAAAAAAACCCATTAAAAATGTATAGGGGGGGCCACTGGCCACATTAAATTTTTCAAATTTGAGCAATTAATATGATATATATTCCATGATGCATTCAATTCAATTCAATTTTATTTGTATAGCGCCAATTCATAACAGAAGTTATCTCAGGACACTTTTCAAATAGAGCAGGTCTAGACCGAACTCTTTAACATTAATTACAGAGACCCAACAGTACCACCATGAGCAAGCACTTGGCGACAAGGGCAGGGAAAAACTGCCTGTTAAAAGGCAGAAACCTAGGACAGATCCTCCGGCTCTAGGTGGGTGGTCGTCTGTCTCGACCAGTTGGGGTGAGAGAGAGAGAGAGAGAGAGAGAGAGGCAGAGAGAGAGAGAGCGAGAGACAGACAGACAGACAGGTGCACAGCAACAACAGTATTGGCAATGGCAGTCAAGCAGGACCATGGCAGGAGGCTCCACCAGGATCCATGAGAACCTGCGAGACGAGAAAGCACAAGAACTCCGGGGAAGAAGTGAAGTTAGTAACATGCATTAATGGGACATGAATGAGTGCAGAAAGAGAGAGGAAGAGAGTAGCTCAGTGCACCATGGGAAATCCCCCGATAGTCTAGGCCTATAGCAGCATAACTAAGGGATGGTTCAGGACTCACCTGATCCAGCCCTAACTATAAGCTTTATCAAAGAGGAATGTCTTAAGCCTACTCTTAAATGTGGTGAGGGTGTCTGCCTCCCGAACCACAACTGGAAGCTGGTTCCACAGGAGAGGAGCTTGGTAACTGAAGGCTCTGGCTCCTGTTCTACTTTTAGAGACTATAGGAACCACAAGTAGCCCAGCATTTAGAGAACGTAATGTTCTAGTGGGGTAATAGGGTACTATGAGCTCTTTAAGATATGAAGGGGCCTGACCATGAAGAGCTTTATAGGTGAGGAGGAGGATTTTAAATTCAATTCTACATTTTACAGGGAGCCAATGCAGAGTAGCTAGTACAGGAGAGATGTGATCTCTTTTTCTAGTTCCTGTCAGTACTCGTGCTGCAGCGTTCTGAATTAATTAGCGTTTTAATGGACTTATTGGGGCAACCTGATAATAAAGAGTTGCAGTAATCCAGCCTTGAAGTAACAAATGCATGGATTAGTTTTTCTGCATCTGTCTGTGATAGTATGTGTCTAATTTTTTCTAATATTACGTAAATGAAAGAAGGCAGTCCTAGAGGTCTGCTTTATGTGGGAGTTAAATGACAAATCCTGATCAAAGATAACTAATAAATTCCTGACAGTGGTGCTAAGGCCAAGTTGATGCCATTTAGAGTGTCTATTCTTTAGCAATGAGTTAAGGTTTTTGGGGCCAATAACAAGTATTTCGTTTTTTTCGAGTTTAACATCAATTGCAGGTCATCCAGGATTTTATGTCCTTAAGTAGAGCGATGTGCAAATTTCCATTATCGAGTATTTAAATTACTTCGACAAAAACAATGAAACGCCCGCGGAAACTCCTCACATCCATTAATACACGGTGCAGCAGCGCCCTCTACAGCATGGCAGGATTCAGTCACACAACTAGTGATCACGTGACCTCTCACTAGCATCCTCCTTGCAACAGTTTAGCAGCGCGTTGTGATGATAGAGAGAAAATGCAAACACCTCCAGTCCCTGAAGCTACCGATACTTTAGATGATTTAGTGCCGAGACGTGGGTCCTATGGGCTTCAGCGTTCAGAGCGCTAAGCGCCTTCAGCGGTAAAAAGATGTCAGCGGAGACGGTTTTTTTTAGCGCAGCGCTCAGAGTGCTTCAAATTGAAATCTGTTCAACTTTTAACACCGCTGGGCGCTCGGAAAATGAGTTTTTGAGCTCTCTCAGCGCTGTAAACGCGTTTGGTGGACACAAGTCCAGCTCAGACAATTCTAATCACATTTTAAAGGATATCGACTGATTATCGTTATCGCCAAAAATCCCAAAAAATATTGAGATATTATTTTTTGCCCATATCGCCCACCCCTATCCTTAAGACATGTTTGTAATTTAGATAATTGATTAATTTCATTGGGTTTGATTGATAGATATAACTGCGTATCATCTGCATAACAGTGAAAGTTAATGGAGTGATTCCTAATAATGTTGCCTAAAGGGAGCATATATAAAGTAAATAGTATTGGTCCAAGTACAGAACCTTGTGGAACTCCATGACTAACTTTAGTATTTATGGAGGATTCATCGTTAACATGTACAAACTGAGAACGATCTGATAAGTATGACTTAAACCAGCTTAGGGCAGTTCCTTTAATGCCAATTTGATGCTCAAGTCTCTGTAAAAGAATATCATGGTGTCAAATGCAGCACTAAGATCTAATAATACAAGTACAGAGACAAGTCCATTGTCAGAAGCAGTCAGAAGGTCATTATTAACTTTAACCAGAGCTGTCTCTGTGCTATGATGAACTCTAAATCCTGACTGAAAATCCTCAAATAAACTATTGTTATGTAGAAAGTCACACAACTCTTTGGCGACTACTTTCTCCAGAATCTTAGAGAGGAACGGGAGGTTAGAAATCGGTCTATAGTTGGCCAAAACCCCTGGGTCAAGAGTGGACTTTTTAAGAAGGGGTTTAATTACAGCTACTTTAAAGGACTGTGGTACATATCCTGATAATAAAGAAAGATTAATCATATCCAGTAAAGAAGTGCCAATTAAGGGAACAACTTCTTTAAGCAGCCTAGTTGGGATCGGGTCTAATAGACAGGTTGATGGCTTCGTTGAAGAAATGATTGAAGTTAACTGATGAAGATCGATAGCAGAAAAACAGTCTAAATATATATATATATATATATTTATATATATATATATATATATATATATATATATATATATATATATATATATATTTTACCTGAACTTGGAGAGCCACTGATAACTGTTGATGGCAGTTGGTGATTAATTTTTTCTCTAATAGTAATCATTTTATTATAGAAGAAGCTCATGAAGTCATTGCTACTTAAGTTTATGGGGATATGTAGCTCGATAGAGCTGTGACTCTCTGTCAGCCTGGCTACAGTGCTGAAGAGGAACCTAGGGTTATTCTTATTTTCTTCTATTAGTGCTGAATAATAGGCTCCTCTGGCATTACGGAGGGCCTTTCTATAGGTTTTAAGATTATCTTGCCAAATTGAGCGATGTTCTGATCATTTGGAAGAGCGCCATTTCCTTTCAGATTTTCTAGCTATTTGTTTTAACTGGCGGGTTTGGTGGTTATACCAAGGTGCTAGTCTCCTATGTTTTAATAATTTCCTTTTTATAGGAGCGATAGAGACTAATGTTGATCGTAGTGAGCCTGTAGCACTATCGACAAGATTATCAATTTCAGAGGGACTAAAGTCGTTATAGGACTCTGTTAAATTCAGACATGGCATTGAATTAAACATTGAAGGAATCTCCTCCTTAAATTTAGCTACAGCACTGTCAGATAGACATCTGCTGTAGGAAGTTTTGCCTAATGGCTTATAATCTAATAGTATAAATTCAAAAGTTATTAAATAATGGTCAGATAGGAAAGGATTATGTGGGAAGACTATTAAATGTTCAATATCAATGCCATATGATAGAACAAGGTCAAGAGTGTGATTAAAACAATGAGTTGGTTTATTTACACTCTGACAGAAGCCAATTGAGTCTATTAATGATATAAATGCATTACTAAGGCTGTCATTGTCAACATCCACATGAATATTAAAATCACCTACAATAATTACTTTATCTGATTTAAGGACTAAACTTGATAGAAACTCTGAAAATTCAGATATAAAATCAGAGTACGGTCCAGGAGCACGGTACATTATAACAAATAGAACTGGCTGCAGTGTTTTCCAGTTTGGGTGAGAAAGACTAAGAACAAGGCTTTCAAATGAATTATAATTAAGTTTAGGTTTAGGGTCCATTAAAACGCTCGAATCATATATGGCTGCCACTCCACCTCCTCGGCCAGTGCCTCGAGGAATGTGAGTATTAATATGACTGGGGGGTGGATTCATTTAGGCTAACATACTCCTCGTGGGACAACCAGGTCTCTGTAAGACAAAGTAAATCAATATCATAATCTGATATTAATTCATTCACTAAAACGTGATGCATAAACGTAATAGTTTCATTTGTAATGAAACATTTCTCTAACATCCCAGAATTGTCCCAGACACTGTATCTTTGCGTTCCAGGTGCTGTTTTTATTGTCCAAGAGACAGTAGGACATCCTTCATTTTGAGCGCTGTGTGTAGTATCTGTGGCTCTAAGCCCCAAGCCCAATGGCTCCTACTGAAGACATAAATCTTCAAAAACAACAAAAAAAACATATAGTTTCATTTTAAAATAAGGGTCAGTAATTTCCTTAAACAGATGCTTGCGTTACACAACTAAAACAGAGTAAAGTACTGGATTAATTGAAATTTGATGGAATAGTGAGTATTCACAGCAGCAGGACAGTGTATGTGGAACTAAGTCAAAATAAACTAGTAAAAAGTGTGACTCAATATGTGTTTTAATAGTTTTTGGACCTCAGTGGAGCTCTGTGGCACAAAGGATAAGATATGTCATATTTTTGCTGTAACAGCCTCCACTCTTCTGGGAAGGCTCTCCTCAATTTCCTCCACACCAAACTGGGAAAAATATTTTTATGGACCTGGCTTTGTGCACAGGCACATCAAAATGTTGAAACAGGAAAGAGCCTTCCTAAATTATTGCCACAAAAGTGAATGCACCCTCTTCTCTTAAATATCAAAGTATGGTATAAGATTTCTCTGAAATGGAACCTAAAAACGGACCAAAAGTACACAGTGTGTCCAAATCTGGCCATGTAGTGTACACAGTGTGTGACTGGAGCAACTTGTTCACTAGTGCAGTGGCATATTTTCTACTGGGTAATATTTGTCTTTTCCCTCTCTTACAGATTCATCCTTGCCCGCAAGTGCAGAAAGCTTTCAGGGCTGAGCAAAGAGGAGAGGTAGGGGCACAGTGGAGACGATACATTGGATTAATACACTCCCACAAGCTGTAGGATCGGTTTAATTCAAACTGATGTCTTGTTGCGACTAGGTTGAAGAGGATCTGTGAGATCTACTCCAGAGTGCTGGGATCAGAAGAGGCTCTGCATGTGAGTTTGGATAGACACTAACACATACTGTACTCACACAGCCACAGTGGAACTGCATCAGTAGTTGAATCATTCATGTGTCTACTTGTGTCTGTCAGCCGGTGCACTATGAGGAGAAGAACTGGTGTGAAGAGGAATACTCTGGAGGCTGCTACACCGCCTATTTCCCCCCAGGAATCCTTACCCAGTATGGAAAGTAAGTCACACACACATACACTCACACACTCACAAATATCACAGTAATATTTACAGAGGTCCTCACATTGTTTGACACTTCAGGGTAAAGAGAACACCTCTGCTGCACAGCCAGGCTACATGTGACAGCTGTGTTTTTTTATTTTATTATACTGTTTGTTTGTTGAGCCTGCCAATCTAATTGCTGAGTTCAGCAGTTGTTTACAGGCCGATCATACTGTAGTCACCAGGCTATAAATGATATAAAAGGGGTCCCTTGGGGAAAATGGTTGGGAACCACTCATTGATCTTCAAACAAAGCTGGTCTTCAGAAGTTTAATGCTTTTTAAATCAGCTGATCTATCCTCACATTTGTTCAGTTAGGAGAATTGGAACTTTAAATAAATTATAAATTCACACAGAACAGTATAATGCAGTAAAACAATGTAGTAGTAGTTGTGGTCAGGGGCAAACAGCCATAACAGCAGAGAGTAATGGTTGTGTATTTAATTAAAGGCCATCTTTAAACCTAATAAATCAGCTGCAACTATGTAACCTTTCATGTTCTCTGTCTCTTCCTGTCTCCAGGGTGCTGAGGGAGCCAGTTGGCAGGTTGTACTTTGCAGGCACAGAGACGGCCACAGAATGGAGCGGCTACATGGAGGGGGCAGTGCAGGCTGGAGAGAGAGCAGCCAGAGAGGTCAGAGCACAGACAGCCTCTAAACCCTTTCAGAAACCAGGAGATCCACTCATATTTAGAACATGTACTATAAGAGTCGTGTTACACCAAAAAAAATATTAGGCTACTAAGTCATGTTTCAAGCATCCCAACCCCCACTAGGGGTCACCAATGCTTAATAAGGGTTGTGAAGCCTCATGGACTTGAAAGCTGCAGAAGGCAACTTTTATAAAAAATAACTTTTGTCATATTTGCTGAAACTTTCACTATATCCTGACAGTAGTACATGAGACAGATAATCTGAAAATATCAGGTTCCTCTGGCTACTCCAAGAGCTCCTAATGGCATTTGTAAGAATCCACCGGGCCTGAACGAAAACAACCAACCTTAAACCTGCTTTAAGTATGAACAGTTGTTGAAATAATATTATCTGCTCAAAATTCATCCATATCGCTCATTTTACACAAACTTCCTACAGTTATTGTGTTCACTAGTCTGGTTCATTGTACATTGTATCAGTTGTTCTCTACTGTTATTGTTATGCATTAAATATCATATTAAATATCCATAAAATATGTCACTTAGTCAGTTTACACAGTGATAGAAAAGGGTTCCCTTAAGTACAAAACTAGGGAACATCTGAGTTAAGGGACAGTCTGCAAAACCCTTAATGCAAAAAGTCCTTGATGTTGAAATAAATGGTTTAAATCTTAATATGACTGAGCAACCAGTGTGTTCTGTTGCAGGTCATGTGTGCATTAGGTAAAATCCACCAGAGTCAGATCTGGCAGACGGAGCCTGAGTGTGTGGTAAGGGAAATTTTTTCTAAACAGGCAATAAACTAAAAAGTTAAACAGATGTAACTTAAACTTACCCCTCTCCTCCATCTGTTTGTCCGACAGGAGGTCCCAGCACTCCCCTTTGTCACCACCTTCTGGGAGAGGAATATGCCTTCAGTTGGTGGTTTCCTCAAGTTCATGGGAGTCTCCGCCTTCCTGTCTGTTGCCACCGCAGCCAGCCTCATGGCCTACAAGAAGGGCCTCCTTCCCCGGAGTTAAGCTGCCCACGCCCGTCATCTCACTCCTCTGCATCTCAAAGGGGGCATGTCTCAATACTGTATTCTTATACTTGTAGTGCGCTACTTTATGGCCCAAACTACAAAGTAGTGAAGTATATAGGGTAGTGTTTTTGAGAAACCCCCCGCTTACTTTTGAGCTCACACAAAACACTAATGCACCATCACTGTTCACAAAAGGAAGACAAATAGTGATGGGCTGATTAAAAGTTAAGAGATGCTACAGTAGTTTGAGGAGTGAAGAAGAGTTTAACTTCAGTTTAAATCTATAATAAATCAGAGATTCAGATTGTGAAATGAATGAAGGAAAAATAATCGATTTGAGAAAAATATATATCTATCACTATTAATATTCCATACATTGCCAATGACATTCACATTCTTGATTACATGATGATTTGTCTTAACTCATCATGCTTTCTGTGGGTGTATGAGCTTGGTGTGTGTGCAGGTGCACATGCTTTGGTGAGCATGCATCTGTGAGTGTGAGTTTGTCACTTGTGTACAAAATGTGTGTATGTGTGTGTGTGTGTATCCAGTATCTAATTACCTCTGCTGATTTTAGGTGCTGATTTATTCAGGCCAAGCAGCTGTCGCTGTTTGATGAGATCCAGCAACATCAGAATAGAATAGAGTTGTGCCATGGCCCATTACAGAATCACAGAGGAGGTTTAAGGATAAGCTATATATTTTATATTTTTCTTATTGTCAACAAATCCCATGAAAAGATGAAAACCAGCAATGAACAGATCTTTTTATCCAGTATTGTCTGTGTAGCTTAATATTTCCTTCCTCCGTACCACAGAACTCAATCACTCCAAAAATACTGTTGCATTGGGTGACATGTTCCTTCATTACCATGAACACACACACTGTAGTTTATTTTTACTCAGTCCCACATACCATCCTGCTGCGCCAAACACTTACTAGAGTACCAAATGTGTATTAATTCGCTGCTGAAAATAGTCCCCATCTACAGTGCCTAGTTGTTTTAAAGGAAATGTTTGTAGCCAATCACCTCAACCAAACATGTAGGAGAAACTACGGGGCAGCAAAACTCATGAAAAACATGAAAGGCCCTATCTAGAGCCAGTGTTTGGTTTGTCCCTTCTGGGCTACTGTAGAAACATGGTGGTTCAACACAGCTCTCGCTCCTTCTGTAGATAAAAATGGCTCATTCTAAGGTAAATAAAACGCAAACATTCTTATGAATATTAAATTCAATTTCTGACAATAGATCCTCATCAGTGTTACATGCTGGACCTGAATCCCACTCTCCAACTGATCTCAATAGGCACCAGGAACTCCAGCTCTCTCTCCTGTTCTCTCTTTTCTCTGTACAGTTGTAAGCGGCTCAGATCTTTTGCTCAAGTTGACAAAATTTCAACTTGTGTGGGTGCATCAAGTCAATTATTGGGTTATTGTACACCCAAGAATCATAATTTGCTACAAAGGGCTTGACACTGTGCTTATTCCAGATATTACTCACTAGAGTGCCAAATCCACAGCTTAAAATAGTCCCTAACAAATATACTATTTACTCCTGTAAGACTTGCTGTACCCAGCTGTTTAAGGAATTTACTTAATCTTTTTTAAAAACATACTATATAAACCCCCCCTCCAGTCAGAAATCAGTGTTTCTCCTTGTTCCTACAGCGTGCTGTCTGAATGCTGTCTGTACAGAGTTTGACACTAGAAGGATGTTTTCACATTCATCTGCTGAAAGTGGAAAGTTTCTCTGTGCTCATTGAAAATCAGATTTTAAGGGGCGGGGCCTACCAGCAGGATTTGTGACATCACAAATAGTCAGGAAGTCAGTCGTGGTCCAGTATCAACTTGTGCAGTGTGATGTAGAAACTTGAATCCACCAGTGCACATCCACTGAGAATGAACTTTACAGTGAAGTAGGAGACATCTTGTGTCCAGCAGGAAAACTTTAGAAACCAACAACATTTGTATATTCAGAGATTCTGGAAGTTTTAATGAGGCAGAAGGAGGAGATTACAGGATTTTAATGTGAAAGTTATACTTTGTTTGTTTACGAAACAAATCAGACACACATTATTGTTCCAAGCAGATTATTTGTGTGTATATATATATATATATATATATATAATACACGTCCAGAGGATCTTTAAAGATTTACATATTCAGTAGGAACAAACAGGCTAGGGGCTGACAGTTAGTCTTGAGGGGCAGAATAATGAATTGTTGGTTTTCATGGGATTTGTTGACAGCAAGAAAAAGAATAAGAAAATGCATAAGAAGCCTTATCCTTGTATTTAGGGGTAATGTAGTGCTACTAAGCTGCTCTGTTATCTTTGGGTAATTGTAACGAAAGCATTCGAATGTATTTTCTTTAGACCAGACAACACAAACTATTTGTTGCTGATCAGATTTTTTGATTTTCCTTTACTGTATTATTTACTTTAGCTGACTACAAGGAGTTTTTAACTGGTTATGAAGCCATCTCAATTTAATACTGATGCCTCTATATGACCTACATAATTGGCTGTTTCTATAATTCTTCTTAATGCCTGCTACCAGGTCAACTCCCCTTAAAAGCAATGAAACAAGGCTGTAGGAACACTACTGCTTTTGTCCACAGGGGCCGCCAGAATCAACACAAAATAAAAGCTTGCAGGGGCTTTAATGAGTTTAAAATCACATAGGATGCAATTTTGATTTGTTAAAGACTTTGAATTTGAACTTCCTCCTCCTCTTAAAACGAATTCAAGAAAACAGATGAATAAATGAAGGATTATTCCCAGATTGTGCAGACATTTGGAGAAACCCTGCAGACAACTCACATTAAACACTAATTAATTGTTGGCCACATTGTAAGCACTTCGGCAGCACTCTGTGATGAGTTACACTCGGATGTCAGCAATCATTTGTTCTTTTTTTTTATGTTTATGGAGGTAGATGTGAAGAAAACCAATCAACATGTGACTGAAGGGCACTGTGTGTGCAGCTTTGTATGTCCACTGATAGAATCATACTGTACTCTTCCCAAAGACTGGTGTATGTGTTTGTGAGTGTAGTTATCTGTCGTGCCTTAATGGAAGTCATAGTGTTTTTGTCATTTCTCTCAAGTGCCTGTGTGACTCTGACACTCCGCCCCTCTCCCGCCTGCACTGGTGGTGAGATGTCAGATGGACCGGGTCGTGGGTTTAAGGCCTCAACCAACCATCAGTACAACGGGGACCAGCAAACCAACTCCATGTCCCTCTTAGCATGTCATTTTTCAATGTGCCCTGCATTACCTGAGTTATGTCCTCTGTATAAACCTTACTCAGGTAAGGCTGGGCGTAACAGAGCTCAGACTGTTGGGTTGATCAAACTGCTTATCTCCAGTGAAGACAAGCCTGTGTGTGTGTATTTTGCATTGTGATTGCAGTGCTTCACTATGTGTCTCCCCTTCTTGTGGTGCCCTTGTGTGTCTCTAGTTGCTTAACTTCACCCCATGTGCACTGACCTTTGATCCTCCGGCGCTTACTCACCTGCACTGGTTGTGTATTCACCCAAAACCAACTCCAGAAGTAGCAATTGGACAACAATGTCGCTCACATTTAAACCCGTTTCTAAACGTGTTCATGTTTCTGACTTCATTGAACAAACACAGCCAGCACTCTGTCCATCCTTCCAGACAACAGTTGTAGCACCATCAGCAGACATAATGCACTCATTATGTGAACCTTCTTCATTGTTTTCTGGAGACCTTAGACTGTTCCCCCAACCCTCCTGTGCATTTGAGCCCCCTTAATTATTCCTGTGACCAATGATTTGATGTCTTTGATTCCTCAAACAAAGCTGGTGATATTTAAAAGAAGAAATGTGAAATAAATCTTTTACTCGTATTAAACCGTTCTTGTGTATCATTCTTTGTATTCCTTTGGTGGGGATGCAGTTGCATGTATAATGTGATTCCCATCCAGGGGTACTTATACCCGGCTACAGTTGCCAGGGAGTGTGTGAAAATATGGAGTAGTTAATTATGATAAGGCAAAAGAACAATAAATGTATTCAGGAGGAAAATAAGTAGATAAATAAAATTACAAATGGTTGTGAGGCTGCTGTTGACTCCCACCAACATGAGCCAGTTGCAATGCCATTCAGTGTGTAGGATTTAGTGGCATCTCGTGGTGAAGCTGCAGATTGCAACCAACTGAATACAAAGTGTGTAGGAGAAACTACGGTGGCCTCAAAACTTGCAGAAAAACATGAAAGCTAAAGCCAGTGTTTGGTTTGTCCCTTCTGAGCTACTGTAGAAACATGGTGGACTCTGCGGAAGAGAACCCGCTCTGCTGTTTGACCTAAATGGAACAGAACCATAATTAGTATCATTGGTAACACCTGTTTACCCTACTATTTCATGTCAAAATGGCTGGTGTGAAAAAAGTCTATTCATAGTCTTAAATGGGTGTTGAAAGGGTACTTTGCTACTTTGCATGCTACTTTGTTACATCAAACTTAAAGACCTGATGTCACCCTCTGTGGTGCTGTAATGCAGCAATTTCCAGTGTTGTCGCCATCACTGTCTATATTCCTCACAGTGGTCTTCATCATCACCATCACTGTTTACATTTATGATGTCTTATTTATTCTCCTGTACAGCACTTTGGTCAACTTTGGTTGTTTTTTAAAGTGCTTAACAAATAAAGTTGGATTGGATTGGATGTATAAAGAAAACCAACAGAAACTGTGCTGAAGTAGATGTATTAATTGACCAGAGAGTGGTGTCAGAATAAAGGTCTGTGGAAACCTATATCATGTTTTGAGTGGTTCTCAACCCTATATATTGACACACATTAGGCTGTGGACATTAGGTTTAGCAGGTATATTTTTTAACCTGATCACCATCTCATTTTAGCATGTTAGGCTAATGGGAATGTTATTAGTTTTCAACAAAAGAATGAATGTTCGAACCAAACCAACTGAAGCATCTAAACTTTATCAAGACATTTTACTCAAAACCAGAAATGTGAATGTCATGGTGGTACTAGGGGAAGACAAAAGTCAGAAGTCAAGGAATCAAGGAGTCATTAGGATTCATCCAGTCTATCCAATAGTTGTTGACCGACTGACATTCCCACATTCCTGGAGCCAAGGCAGTGATTGTAATATAAATTGTCCAAGTAGTGTTGTAGTACCCCAGCAGAAGCTGTTGCTCGATTGCTGTGGGTAAAATAAATGTCAAACACTGTTCTGTCTCTCTATTTCATTGCTTTCAAATGTATCAAAAATCTATAATTTGAGGCGATATCACTATTTATTGTGTAAAGTCTAGAGCTACTGGGCTACTGTAGAAACATGGCACTTTATCATGGCAGACTCTGTGGAAGGTGACCCTAGGTGCATGTAGATAAATAATAATCTGCCTGGAGCTTCGCTGGTAGCATGTCTGAAAATCTGAGTTCTTGGTGACTCGAGGCAACTACAGAGAGTGAAAGAGCTGGTAGCCGATAAACTGCCAGAAGGGGGTAATAATGTAAAGCTGCAGCCAAAGGTTATTAAGACAGATGAATAAGCGACATTACACTTACATGTTAGTGTCATTCTCAAAGTAGCCCTATTGAGCCTCACTGAGACCCTTCGTACAGGGTGGGTGTGTATGTGCGTGCACATATAACTCTGGCAATGCCCCAGAGGAGCTCAGGTTAAGATGTAGATTGATGCTGGCCCACACGCATTTCTTTAGAGACTAAAGCCAAGCAGCGGAGGGCAGAAGGAGCATGCCAGTTTAAATTCTAACAATACCACCTGTCGGGTCCAATATATAACCTTTCCTGTTTCCCGGCTACTGCGTTTTGTCTCGCCGTTGCCGTGTGTGTGTGTGTGTGTGTGTGTGTGTGTGTGTGTGTGTGTGTGTGTGTGTGTGTGTGTGTGTGTGTGTGTGTGGCTCTGCCGCACTTCTGGACACTGGTCTTTTCGAGACAGATGCGTCCTTTTCTCTCTTTTACTTTAATCTTCCCACTGGCTCCTGGCGCGGGTCATTCCTTAATTCAGAATTGTAAATAATATAAATCGTGATTAGACACCGATACAAGGATGTCAGTACTGAGATAATGTGATCCTACTGTTTTTTTCTGACTATGAAGTGGCATCCGGAGCCAAGACTTCAACCTGCCGTGGTGTGCGTGGCCACTAGAGTGCAGGTGACAACCATCAGAGCCAACTCATTACAGACTTCTGTGCAAATAACAAAATATCGTCATCCAAGCACATCACGTTAAATAATTGCTGGAAGAGCCGTTCACATGCAAACCAGCACACATAAAGGCTTTGCTGTCACATTAATCCTGACCGGGGGTTAGTCATGTTGTCTCTGGGCTGGGTCTGCTGGTTGACATATGGCACTTATGTTGCTCTCATCACTCCCGTCTGAGCTGTGATAGCCAGAGGCTTGTACAATCCCAGATTGACACACCAGGCTTAGTCACTGCAACCACTTTCCAATACCACACTAAAAGGCTCTGACAGCATATGCTTCCCAGTCTGCACAAACGTTGTGTAACTGCAGCTGCACAGGCAGCGGCTCCATAGTGCTGGGGTTGCTGTTTTTCTTCATTTCATGTAGGTGTCAATACATCTGCATGCAAGTGCACGATCAAGAGCACGCACATGTTCCCACACTACCATTAGACACACTGTCCTCTCTTTATTAGACTACAGCCCTGCTCCTGGCCCCACTGCAGCTTGCTGTGATATGAAATCTGACACTGTCAATTTGCCTCCCAATCCGTCAGACTGTGGATTGGATTCAGGTGGCAGTGTTGTGGGGCTCGGGGACTTGGAGCTGTGTGGCCTAGGCAACTGCTAACCGCCATCCACCCACAACCATACCCCTTCAAGTTCCCTCAGTGGTGAAATCATCTGCAATCTGCCATTAAATGTTCCCACTCCCAGATTCTGTTAGATTGTTTTCTTGTCCGCAGGTATCGGGGGTGCTCCGAATCTCTCTCCTACGTGCCAAGGGGAATTGCAGCAACAAGGTTTGCTGAAAATAAAAGTTTGTGATAGAAAACGGCTTCGTTCTTTCATTCTGGTGGTTCAGAATGCATTAGTGAAGCATTATTGTACAAATGTTTTTATTTACGTGCACATTCCATCTACAAAGAAATACTTTTTAAAATATGTTTTGTGGCCTTTATTATTAAGCTGACCACAGTGAGCTGACAGTAACTGAGGGCAGACAGATGAGGGATTGAGTCTCTAGCTGAACTTCAACCAGGGACATTGCTGTTCATTGTTGGCACCACAACCCCAGGGCCGCCAGGATGACACAGCATTCATACTTCATTCATACTCAAAATAAATGAGTATAAGCTACGTAAGGACACTAATAACCATTATAAAACATCAGTTCCACTAACAGTACTGATAAAACACCTATCAAAGCCAAGAAAGATAGTTGATTGTTGAATCTCATTCCCAGGTCGTCAATTACTGAAGCTGGGACTCAACAATCATTTATCTCCAAACCACCAACCCAAAGTGTCTTTCTATCTTTCTTGACAATTCAATTCAATTCAATTCAATTTTATTTGTATAGCGCCAATTCATAACAGAAGTTATCTCAGGACACTTTTCAAATAGAGCAGGTCTAGACCGAACTCTTTAAAACATTAATTACAGAGACCCAACAGTACCACCATGACACTGATTGGTTGTTTTCATTCAGGCCCACTGGATTCTTGAGGAAGCTATTTTTTTCACAGATTATCTGTCTCATGTACTACTGTCAGGATATGGTGAAAGTTTTTAGCAACTATGACATTTTATTTTTAATAAAAGTTACCTACTGCAGCTTTAAATGTTTTCTTGCAGAGTTAGATCATAAGATAGACCCCCCTAGAATGATTCAGTCCCAGGGTCAAAAATCTGCCTAGGAGTACCTCTAAAGCTCACTAATTAGCGTGTGATATCTCATTTGTTTAGTCTGTATGTAAACCAAAGTGCATAAAGTACCAAACAATTGGTTTGCCTGGGTTCATGGAGTCTTGTCGTCACCATGGCATTGCTAGGCAACACATAAACAAAGCAACAACTTTTCAAATTTTTTGCACAAATTAAACAAGATATAATATAGTTTAAGAGGTGCTAGGAAGCACCTTTTCTGTTACCTTTAGACAGAACCATGCTAGCTGTATCCCTGTTTCTAGTCTTGAACTTTGCTAAGCTAGGGGTAGCTTTAATACCTGGTCAAGAAAGCAAACAGTATTTTTCCAAAATATCAAACTATTTCTTCAACAGATCCCGTCTGCCATTTCCAATCTGTCGGCAGGATTTTTCACAATTTGGGAGCCAAACAGATATAATAAAATACAATAGAATAAAATACTTAGATAGAAAGATTAAAAAAAGATAAATAGGTAGGTAAGGTGCAAAGAGTTGTAGTTGCGAGATGGTGGTAATAGTACTGATGACATGATGGTAGTGTTATTGTTAATAACAGTATATAATGATAATATTAATAATATTTATAATAATATAATAATAATAATGTGTATGACTGAACAGATATACATGTATACACATGCAGATATTATACATTAATATTGATATAATGTAAACATGTGTCATATATTCAGCCTGTGCAAGGTGTGCATACATACCCACTGTAATATATATACACAATATATATATAATATGTACACATATATATACACAAGATATGATATGATACATAGCATATGTATAATAGATACTTGACTATACCAGAAGATATACATACAATAGATAATATCTTATATATTGTATATAATAATAATAATGATGATAATGATAATAATAATAATAATAATAATAATAATAATAGTAATAATAGTAATATAATATTAATATAATAATAATATATTGTAT